AGCAGTTTGCTGATGATCCCTAGCTGGGAGTAGGGCTGATACACCAGAGGGCTGTGCTGCCATTCAGAGGGACCTGGACAGGCTGGAGAGATGGGCAGAGAGGAACCTCATGAAGTTCAGCATAGCCAAGGGCAAAGTCCTGCTCCTGAGGAGGAAAAACACCAGGCACCAGTACAGGCTGGGAGCTAATCGCCTAGAGAGGTCCGAAGGGAGAGTGTAAAGGAGATGGGGCCAGTGGTGCCCAGTGACAGGACGAGAGGCAACAGGCACAAAGTGAAACCCAGGCAATTCCACTGCAACACAAGGAAACACTTATTCATTGTGAGGGTGGTTGCACGCCGGAGCAGGTTGCCCAGAGAGGTTGTGGAGGCTCCGCCCTTGGAGATGTTCACAACCCACCTGGACACAGTCCTGGACGACCTATTCTGGGTGACCCTGCCGGAGCAGGGGGGTTGGACCTGGAGATCTCTAGAGATGCCTCCAACCCCAGTTGCTCTGTGACTCTGGAAAGAGGTTTTGCACTGAAGCAAGTTTCTTTCCACTTCCCATTTCAAGCCTCTGTGGTCAATGCACTGAGGCCGGCTCTAAAATACTGAAATATCCACCAGACTGTCTCTTCTTCAGTAACGAATATAGGAGGTTTTATTAATGACGACACGCAGGAAGAGGAGCACGGCAGGACTGAGCAGGGTCCGCACGGGGCGATGGGCTGCGTTTCTCGGGGCAGGGGCGGCCAAGGCCTTGCAGTCTGCACGCAGGCAGGACTCTCACCGATCCTTGCGCTCCCTGGACACAAGCAGCTGGCTTTCTATCACTGCATGGAAGCGTCAGTTGTTAAGAAATATTTGTACTACTGCCTACATACCGCTGTGATATTTGTACATAAAACCCACCAAGCTATTTATCTAAAGTAATATCTCAGATGGTAAAAGCAGTCATTTTCAGCTGTTGCTTTCATTAGTCTCAGCCTTACAATCAGTTACGCCATCAAACATCCTCCTCATTAATCAAATGCAGACAGTACTCTGAAAATAAAGGGATTTAATAAAGGCATTTATCTTCACACTGTGTAATAAAACAGCTCTTACCACACAACTTTCTGTGGCTGCTCTGCTGTAACACCATGAGACAAAAACAAGCCGCTAGACTGAAAAACAGACGGATTAGATCACAAATAGAGAAGTGACTGCAGGGCTGCAACAATTAAAACATAGAACAAGGTTTGTAAAATTCACCATAACTACCGTAGTACTCTAAAGGGCTTTACCAATATATGGCCAAAACTAATGTGTGTTTGTTATTCTCTTGATTATAGCATTTTGTTGACAAAAAGCTGATTTATTGTCCTACCTAGTACAATTAAAGTGCTAGATCTGAAAAAAGGAATAGAGTGCTAAAAAAAGAAAAAAACCCGATACTGATTCTTGACATTTCTGTTTGTTGTTTCGTTTCCTCTTCAGCAGAGGAAAGGGGCCTGGCTGAGGACGCGTCCTCGTTTTCCCCGTGAATGCCGGCGGCCAAGGGAGCTTTTCTCCCGCTAGCAGAGTTTGCCTGCCCTCCGCCAGCTCCCTCCCACCGAAGCGTCTGCAGTGCAAAGCTGCAGCTGTGGACCTGCATAAGTCTTCGGTCCCTCTCTTTACTAATATCCTCTTCTTGTCTGTGTGGGACTGCATGATTTGATTATTGTTATGAACAGAGGCCCTACATTCAGAACAACCACAGTAACAGATGACATCACCATGGTAACATAACACAAGACTAACCATTATGCCCATCAAGATGACTGTAGGCAGAAAAAACAGACTGTTTCACCCTCTACCAGGCCGCTGAAAGGAACAAATTTCTTCTAAAATACTACAAAACCAGAAATCAGGTGTGGAAAAAAAGGCATGATAATGACGGGTTGTTCTTTCCTGCCTGATTCTGAAAGCAGACTAATAGTTGTTTGCACGATTCACAAGTAGTCAGGAGTCAGTTTTAGGAGTCAACCCCAGGTACCTTCCTTCTTAAAAAAAACATCATTACTGAAGTAAAACTAACACACTCCCCCACCCCAAGAGACTTACGCACAATGCTCATTTGCTAAAGGTTGAAACCATATCCCCCCCAGAGCTGATCTCAGAACAGGGCTTTGCATGTTTTTCCGCATAACGCAAAGAAAATAGCTCTAAGATTGCCTTAAACTGCATGATGAAATGTGTAGTTTTCGTTTTACAGATTGTTAACAGTGACCAGATCATAATCTAGTTAAGATTATCTGAAATACTCATGCCAACATAACGACAAATCCTCCAGTCTTATACTGAGGACAACTCTCAAATGAAGGAAAAAAATGAAGGAAGTTTTCCAAGCCTTGAAAACTAATCCATTGCAAGATACCATATCTTTTCACAGCTATCTGTACTTCACATGTATCAACTAAATGTAACAGATAATCACTCAGAGCCTCGGTCAAAGCATCTCATTTTTCTTAACATTGTTAAAGAATTTTATATTTTTAGAATCTTATTATCCTTAAGCCCTTTAAAGCAGCGAAGAGCTACAGAATATTTTTAGCAAACTTTGTGAGTCCTGAGATATTTGTCTTTGCCTCAAGCTGGAGAGCTGGCATGCATCTTGCTCAGGGACTCTAATGAGCTAGGTATAATTTTTGTTTTCTTTTCATTCTGAAATAGTTTTGTTCCACAGCTATTTTTGTAAATGTACAATCCCTCACCCTCAGAATTTACATTTCTTAGCTCAGCTCTAATTCCTCATTATAAAAGAGTTTAATAAAGATAAGACTTAATGGGAGTGGTGTATGAGCACGAAAGCATGAATGATGTTCTGCATGTAGTCAGGTATTACTAGCAAAAACTCCATCAGGTCACAAATATTACTCTTTGCTCCTACAAATGCAGGGGAATAGATCATCTTCTTTCTGCAGGTGTGCACAACAGATTTAGCTGTGGTTTCTGGTTGATATTAGCAGTATAAAGGAGCCTGCAAATCTAAAAGTTCTTCGGTGATTTCTGATATATTGGTTTAGGAAGGCTCAGAAAGGGAGGTCAGATTTATCAACAGTCACGGGTTCTTCAGGATATACTGTCCGTATGCACATTTGCAACCCATCTGTCTTTATCTCGGAGCCTTACAGGCCTCTTAGCCTCACATTTGGTAGTTTAGAGGAACTGAGGGTTTGGGGACATCACGGCCGTCCTGGATTCTTCTGCTCATTCAACAAAAAGAGAGAGATCTCTCTATCATGTGCAGAAAAGAAGAGAAAGCTTACCAAACATCCAAAACGTAGACAGAATCTTCACCCTTGAATGCATGATATTTTAATAAAATGCTAACAGTTTGATCTTGTAAGTGAAACTTAAAGATAGAGATAGCGAAGTTTGGCATAAATATGATGGATAACTTTACCTCTGAAAGAAACTGAGAAGAATTTGCTATCAGATCCTGGATCTTCCCATTTTCTTAGCAGACGTAGCACTAGAAAAATCTACTCTCATCAAACAGTACGATAAGCATATGGTCAAGGACTCAAAAGATCTTCTCCGTGACAGTCCTATCGAGGAATCTCTAAGGATTAGAAAGGAAAATCTCTAAGGAGAGGAGCTAGCTGCACACCATATGAGGAATCTGGTCTAGAGGCTTGCAGGGGGGAATCCCAACAAGTTAAAAGAAAGGTTTTCAAAAGATAAAGCAAAACGGACTAAGTAGAGAAATGAGGTCAAGCTACACTAAGAAAGCTGCAAGTGAAAACTGCAAGTGGAGATTGCTGCAAGTTTTCAGGGAGGTCCAGGCCAAGCCACTGACAGAGAAAAACAGACTGCGAAGCAGCATCCCATCCCTTTATCCTGCCTGTGCGGTAGGCTGAAGCACGCAGTAGCACGGCCAGGATTGCCAGGTCTCCAGTATCTCCCCAGCTTCGTGGATGCTCATATGCTTTTGCCCAGCATGGTGAGGCCCAGCAGACCTTCCCAGGCCATGACTACCTCACAGACCCCAGGAGCCACCAACACAATGAGCTCGAAGTCCAACAGTGACTTACTGTGTAAAAGTTCCTCAATTGTAAGTTTATATTGCAGATCAGAACTAATCCCAATATGAATCAGCTGTACTGATTTAAACCAGAGGTATTAGAATATGTGAAGCAGGTCATTAGCTGTACAATTCTGAGCTAAAAGAATGGCATTTACCATCAGAACATACCTAAAACACAGGTGAAATACTCTACAGTCCAACTATTTGATTGCTCATTAATATTGAAAAAATGCACATGAGCTATGAATATCCAAATCCTCAACTTGCACAAACAATTTATTTTTTATTTTTTATATACACATTTAAGAAATAAATGAATTCAGCTATACCTCCTCTGGATTCTCATCTATTTCCATTGAAAAACATTTTTTTTTTCCCCCAGAAACCAAAAAGGTGGATTAAGGTTCATGACCAAATTTTGTAATTT